CAAGGTTGCTGAAAACTCTTCGACAGCCCACGACCGGTTTCGCCCTTCTTGGGGCTCATCAGGTAGGCGCAGTCTCCGAGTTCCCGTCAACCTTATGATCTATTTAATGGAACCTCGGAGACTGCGCCTACCTGATGAGCCCCAAGAAGGGCGAAACCGGTCGTGGGCTGTCGAAGAGTTTTCAGCAACCTAGTTAGTAGGTTAGGCCATTGTTTTTAATTCGCTGGAAAGGGCACTTTTACACAGTAGGATAACATCGATTCAAGACATTTTCCAACCACCCAACAATTTTCCGTAAGACGTTTTACCAATAAACATAAAACCGAAATTGTGCCAACAGAAAGAATCTTGCGTCATTCGTGACCGAAAATTTTGACACGATGATCCATAATCGCTGCCTGATAATTTGAGTCGTTTTGCGCAGACTATATACTCCTTATTGTAGTACGTATCTGGTGAGATGCAATGGCATCCATCCGGAAAGTGGCATAGTACAGAAAAGAGCTTCATATTGCGGTATAAGCTGTCTAACGTCTTACAACTTCTGCGCAAATTAAATACAATTATAGGAGTGAAAAAGCAAACATTTCATCTACTAGACTAACAGATTCGAGTAGGCAGTGGTGATTTAGATTCGTGTCCGCATTCGTATCCGTCCCTGTTTATTCATTCTGTCACATTTGTCGTCTCGTCCACATCAATTGTGTCAGTAGTTAATCTTCCCACTATGCTGTGCTTGTTTGTCGCGCTGTCTTGCTTTTAGAAAAAAGTCTTGACGCTGTTTATTTCCATCCGCATATAGCAGATCTCCAGCAGTTTTAGTTGCTTTTCTCTCCGAGCCAGTCAGTCGGTCCAGTAGTATGTTAGCGAATGAAGCCACGTCATTCGTTGGTTTGGAGTTTGTTGACAGTAAAGAAGGGTTTAATTAGCAGAGATGGTGTACGATTTCACCATGCATCATGTGAACCAGACAAGAGGTCGTCTGGTTCTCGCACCTCTGCGCTGCGGCCTGACCGATTTTCACATTGGTCTGTTTCTCAAATTTCTGGATAGAACTGGTGCATTAGTAGGCTCTTCAGTCAACCGTTACTAGTAAATCGGTGAGCTATCCTGTATGGTACAGAAACTTGTGGTTGCTCATCGGAAGTTTGGTTCTTGTATTTTTCACAGGACAGTTTGTTCGGGCACAGCAAACAAAGCTCTGGATAGGGCCATATATTCAGCCATTTTTAATAGATGCCATTTTCAACGCTGTGGTAAGAAAAACTGTGTCCTAAAATATCTGCTCCGTACAATTTGAACAATACACAGTTCGGTACTGAAGTGTAATTCAGTTGTAGTACTGCTTATTTTAATGCTATTGTGATACGCAAACAATACACAATTATCACCGTCAACAACGACAGCAGCGCCAGCCTCCCCTCATCTTCGTCGTTACTACGGTGGGGTGTAGACACTGGTACTTAAATATCGTAAAGCCATGTTAATCTTTTCAGAGTAAACGCTAAAGAGAAGAACGAAAAGGAAAAAGAGTTTAGGACCAGCCTACAACACGTCAACACAGTCACTCAGACAATCTGAATAGAACCGGTGACAAACACCACTGATATCGATTAGCAACTGTACTGCACAACGCCTCAGCCAAGCACAAAAGAGGTCACGTGGCCCCTATCCTGGATGGTAAAAAGTAATGGCAGCACCTAGACTTCCCATGCTTTGTACCTCTTTGCATCTTAAAAAAGTAACTTGTAGATAGGAAAAATTAAACGAGTACAAAAACACCCAACGCTCTCCTTTGCGCATTAATTTGGTTTTGACGTGAGACTTAAATGAATCCAGCTGAGTATCTCGTTTAGGATTATCTGTCGAATAGCTTTCAGTAATCTTGTGAGTAGTATGTTACGTACAAACTGTACAAAAACCGTTTAGCACACTTAATTAACTGCATTACCCTTTCGCTTAGGTTTCAGGGAAAAATTCAAGCTCCGAAAACCGTTGAGACAAAGCCAACCCCTATCGATGCGATTGGGTATGTCCGAATCCCTGTGTCAGCGCAAACCAATCTAGACCTGTGAACAGTTTACGGTTGAAAACCTGAGCTAAGGAGAACCTAAGTCCTCATCTGGATTTGTTGTTAATATCCCATTTTCGCATCACGGATTTCCTTCAGAATGATCGTTCGCCTGACTTTCACACCTAATTTAATGCTTGTTCACTTTCAGCAACCACCTCAGTCCAGCCCCTTATGGATCAAGGTCACGACAGGCACTGGCTACACTCATACCTGTGGGATCAGCTCACTCACTGTCCATTCGAAGCCTCACGGCCCATTTTTACTCGCACCTTGCTGGCGAGTTGCACGCTTTCACAACAGACCGATTGATTAAAGGTTAGCTCTTATCATTTATTTTTGAAGAGCATGGTCACAAACATAAAAAGTGAATGCAAGCGATGAATGCGAAAGAGGAACAGGAGAATATGGGAGAAAAGAGAGAAACGTCTCATTCGAAATCAT